GGGGGCACTGGGAGGACCGCTCCACAACACAACAAATACAAACTGTGGATAAAGAGTCAAACTCTGTTCCACAAAAATAGATTTTTGTCGAGTCACATTTGTTGAGGCGTTCAGGAGCAGCCCTTCTAGTGGACAAACACAACCTCCTGGACCTTAAGGCCTAACACAAGGGCAATGGTGAAAGTGGGAGCATCGGAAGTGCAGGGGACAAGGACTGGACGATGAACTGTCACATCAACATGCTAGGACGAACAGGAAGAGATCTAGAAGAACAAAAAGACAAACAGGGAGACAAACCTCGGTTAAACCGCAAAGGAACACGGACAGGAAGGAGAAGCAGTGTGAGCCGTAGGATCTCACACACACACACACACAGACGGCCTGCAGTGAGCACATGCAGGGTCACAGGTCATGTGACATGGGGCGGGGACAACATTACCATGAGATTTTATTCAACAAAACATCGCAGTAAAATGCTCCACACAACCACCTAAACATCACAGCCAACCAGTGTGCACATACTGCCCCCCCAGAACAGCTGGATCAGTCCCTGATACACGTGCTCTGGTCCACGGCCCACCCAGAACCCCCCAGTGGCAGGTTAACGGGGGGGGAGTGGGACGGATACACACCGGCAGTGTCACGCTGTCCACGGCACACAACAGAAAGACACAAGTACTTTATGCTCTCTGTGTTTTTGGAAAAAGAGGATTTTATTCTTTAGCAGCGCTGATGGATCCTACACACACGGTCCATGCCACAGCGACACACAGTACACATCACGCGCAGGAGAACACACACAACAGGAAGGAGAGCGCACACACACACACACACACACACACCAGGAGATCAAGTGGAACTGTTGCACTTTACATTGTGCTCTTTGAAGTGAATTTCCATTCGGATAAATAATTAAGGCAATAAATAGTTCCCCAGCACACAGGGGAAGTATAAAACCTATATAAAAATAGAAAAGGCATAATAGTTTCAATATACATCATTGTCTCAGTTCCTCCTTCAAATAAATAAATAAAAACATGTCTTGCAGGTCTAAGCATCGGACAGGCTGCCTGGAGCCATGTGACATTTATATGAATGATCCAATCACAGTGGTGTGTCCCTCTGGAGCTCGCAGGACAGTGACTCCACCTCTGACCTCTGACCTGTGACCTGTCACTAGTACGGCAGCGCAGGAGGAGCCCCACTGAAACACGCTGTATGTGGTCCAACTGCATCCTGGTTAAGAAAACACCAGGAATGCAAACGATTCCACGCGCGTCGGCGTCGGCCTCTGGGAGCGGACGGCGCTCAGCGTGGCCCCTCGTCAGCGTGCGCTCCGACGCGTTCACAGCGCCGCGAGGCCGGTCGGAGGCCAGCGCGCGTGTTCAAGTGGAGCTCCTGTGCCTCAGCACGCACATCAAGGGAAACACAGAACTAAGACAAAGGGAGGCAGACCCCCCCAGCGCGCCTCGTGTTTCTGGGCACTGACTAAACGTGGCCTGATTTTAGGGGCGCTACCTGGGGAAGGTGAACAGGTCGTCGGACCGGACAAACTCATTTGTGTATTATGTACACGGCACACAGTACACAGCAAACTGATAACATGGCAACTGAAATGAAAATACACTTGTTTCAAAGGGAAACCGAGTGCATAACGCACAAGGTAAGAGCGGGGGGAGGCGTCCAGCCTGAGAACTACTCCTGCACGCAGCTTCCAGTGAGCCGGCGCCTGCAGTGGGTGTAACGACCAGAGGGGGCAGCGCAGCAGTCGTGTGCCTGTAATGCACAGATGGGTTTCTGTTCATACTCAACTTACCAGAAGTCCACCCTGCCTAACCAAGTGTGCAGCTCAGTAAGGCTTGGAGTTTTTCTTGAGGCCTTTTATCTGCACTTTCGGCCACTCAAAAACATTCAGAAACCGTCTCATGAAATGGATGGCGCCTCGTGATACCACGGGGTGTGGGTAGCTCACAAACCCGGGGGGGGGGGGGGGGGGGGGGGATGCAACAGAAGACCACTTAAAACCCCTCCCCACATTGTTCTCTCCAGTGCTCGTAACCGTTACCCAGAAGGCCGTCTTAAAGTAGCCAATCATCACCTGCGGACGAGGACGGCGTCGGATTGAGTCGAGTCAGTGCAGCTGACAAAAATACATGAGGCTTCTGCCACGTTACATTTCTGTGAGAGCAGGCGAGTTATTTGCTAACGAAGCGCACTGCTGAGGACGGCATTGTGGGTAATGGCTCCAAACAGGCTTGCAGGGGACGGATTCTGTGTTTTAATCCCGGTTGGCTTTTTTGGTTAAAACAATATTGGCAGCAGGTGATGCTAATGTGAGTTTAATGTGGAGCTTTGAGTTGGTCTCATGTTTCACGCGCGGCCTTTTAATCGCTATATCGCTCAACACAAACTGGTTCTATTTGGCCTTTTGTGCCAAGAATGAATTCACAGGAAAGAAATCCTCCGTCCTCGTGTGCAAAAATGAACCCGAGCATCTGTCAATCATGAAAAGCAAAAAGACAAGAGTTTGAAACCAGAAGCACAGAAACCTTGGCTGATGCTTAATTAATTCATCTAGCTTACTTGAAGCTTTATACAATTAGATCACCAGGGAGCCGATTTAGATATTTCATAGGTCATTAAATGACTCGCATGAACTCACCAAAACACTTGCTGAGGTTCGTCTGTTTGTCAATGAAGACTTTAGCAGAGATGACGTTTCCAAAGGGCATAAACATCTGGAGCAGGTCCTGGTCCCCAAACTCCTGGGGCAGGTGGTAAATGAACAAGTTGGCACCTTCTGGACCTGTCAATCGATTCATTGGTTTACCCATCAATCATCAGTAAATGGACAAATCTGCACACTTCCCCAGGCCTCAGCACGCAGTAAAACCTTGTGCATGCAGCAGACTCATCTACTACTTTGAGTAAAGCCTGATATCAGAAAGGCGGTGGGGGGGTCTCTCCCTGGATATCTAGAACATCAGTAGGACCGGGGGTGAGAGGAGGACTCGGGGAACCAGAAGGTTCCAGAGAGCCCACGTTCCTTTAACAGGGGGAATAAGTGTGTGCGGCCGTCATTGTGCACGTTACTAAGGACACGGAGTGGGCGGGGCCTCTGCACAGGGACACGAACAAAGCAAAAGTCAGAAGGAAAAGGGGACTTTCACCATCCAGATGACATTGACATTCTTCCCTAAATGCAGCAGCGTTTACAGGCGTGTGTGGTGGTGTGTGGTGGAGAGAAGTCTTACCGGAGCTTCGACTGTGGCTGGCTGACGCAGCAGATTCAAAACAGGACACAATTCACAAGGAGGGGTCAACACACGGCACACAAACATCTCTACCAGCTCATCTGGCTCCTCCCCTCAGCGTGCAAACACAGACTGAGGAGGGTCACGAGGAGACGTCACAGTGAGAAGCTCTAGTTGGCCTCCTGCTCCCTGTAGAACCCACCTTCCTTCTGGCTGCCTGCGGCGGAGACGCTCTGCTGAGACAGCAGGCTCTGGTTGTAGAGGCTGGGGAGGGCGGCCGCGGCGTACTGCTGGATGCCCGAGTACGCCTGGCTCAGGGCCTCCATGGTGTTCCCTGAGCCATTGGACAGGCCTCCGGAGCCCAGGCTGCCATTCAGTGCTGCCATGCCTGCAGCGCCGTCACAGGGGGGGAAAGGTCAGATCTTACCCCCCTCAACCATGTTCACCCAGTGTCCACCGTGTCTGCTGTGTACAGCGCCGGCACGAGGGTGTAGATCCAGTCCTCAGCGGTCAGTACCTGCCAGGGAGCCCATGTTGAGGCCGGCTCCAGCACTGGCAGCCAGAGACTGCAGGGCCCCCAGAGAAGCCATGGGGTTCACTGACGAGTTGCTGCTGGAGGTGGGGGAGGAGCCTGCTTGGGAACATTTAGTGTTCATCTTGTCATAAAGTAAAGTGTCAAATATTAGACAAAGCAACACACGTTTATGCAAAGCAAAGAGCTTTGTCAATGTATCCACACCATCCAGTTGATACACATAAATGTATTTCACCACGAGAGGTGTGTGTGGGCCTCCTGGATGCAGCTCCCCTATGGAACAATACTGCAGGAGTAGTTCTTGTTTTTCTTTTACCTGAGCTTGTGAGTGCACTGAGAGGGCTACTAGATGTTGTCATGGCGCTGGAGCCCGTGGGCGTGGCCTGTGTGGCACTCGCTGCTGCCGCTAAAGCAGCCAGGTTCTGCATGGCATTAAGACCTGGCAGACATACACAGGGTTAAGTTCCAGACTCCACCCTCCCCTCCTCTGCCCACCACTGTACTGCACACAGAAACACAGCCGGGGGACGTGTCCTCCCCTGGAGTCAGGCGGCAGTACGGGTCTGAGGCCCCAACCCATCCAAACTAAGAAGCCACGAGTTTGATCAGATCGACAAATTCAAATTCTCAGTCCCACGTGAGTGCGTGACATGGTTGTGTGTGTACCTGAGGCCGAGTGCAGGTTGCTGAGTGCGCTCCCCGTAGAGGCCGACTGCTGCAGCAGCTGTAAGTAGAGCTGCAGCCAGGAGACATGAGGAGACATGAGACACCGCACGCTACGGCCGACACTGGGGAAGAGCTAGTGAACTGTGCTACACACACACACTCACTGCCAGGTACTGCGGGCCCAGGCTGTTGAGCCCCGTGAGGTTTCCCCACATGGAAGCAGCACTGAGCTGCTGCATCTGCTGCTGCAGCTGTTGGGCCATTCGCTTCTGCTCCTTGTCCTTCTGCGTGTCTGCAAACTTCACCACGATGGGCGACGAGCAGCCCTGAACACGGTGAATAACGTCTCATTGGACTAGTCAACGGAGCACCGCAGACACTACAATCCACCAAAGCAGGGTTCGTAGTGGGAAGTGGAAGCTCACCTCCATGGTTTGGGACTGGTGCATGGACTTGATGGCTGACTGGGCCATCTGTCTAGCTGTGAATGTCACAAACGCACAACCTGAAGGAGATAAACACAATGCATGGTATTAGAACAGGTGAGGAAACATCTCAGTGATAGCGCTGTGGTTTCGTTCTGCATTGTTATCCTCTTTTCCTTTGTGTAAAGCAGTGGTTCTCAACTGGTCCGGCTCCGGGACCCACCATCACCCCTTGATGACAACCCAAATCGAGGAGCATTCTCAACTTCTCAAATGTATTTAATGAAAATAGGGTGCAGTTTGAACCTGTGAGAGTGTGGTACGTAAGCCAACACAAAAACAGCCAGCTGTTAATTCTTCTTCAGGCAAAGGCCCGCGGACCCATTAAAAACCAGTTGAGAATCACTGCTCTGAAGTGTGTTGGAACAGACACGGCCCACATCCATCACTCTGGTTTGTTGTATTTCATTCATTGCTACTCTAGCATTGTCTATTGAAGCACAAAACATTTTTAATGGTGTACACTGCTAACATAGACCTCCCCATCCTGTGTGTGTGTGTGTGTGTGTGTGTGTGTGTGTGTGTGAGAGGAGCCAATAGGTTTTTACCCCGGCTGAGTCCATCGGGCCCTCGGAGGATCCGGCACTCCTCTATCTGCCCGTATGCTGAGAACATCATCCGGATGTCGTTCTCGTTACACTTCTTGGAGATCATTCCAATGAAAAGCTTCCTGTCCTCCACGGCTGCATCCAACACAAGCCACATTGCACACTGTGTCAAGCTGAATGCAGGTCACATGGGAACCTCCCTAACAGCACCACTCTGGGCCCGTCATCATTCCTCGTGTTGAAAGTGGACATTCCCTTTCCTACAGTGGCGCCGATCAAAGGTCACCAACGTTACGTAGTCGACTTGACTCGATGGACGCCGCAGGCCGAAGCCCCTGATTGGCTGTCACTAGACCTTTGAATACATCAGAGCACAGACTCTTTAGGGGTAAATGATGCAGAGAGCCGGAGGCTGTGTGTGCTGCACACTAGTCACAAAGGTTCCACGCGTCTATAACCATGAGATCGCAGCACAACACACGACTACTAGTCACACTAAATGTCCTTCAACCGTCTCACCAGGCAACGACTCACAAATAGTGGAGTCATTCAAAGCAATGGGCTGTTTTCGGAAGCTGCTCCTCTCTGGGGCCTTACCGTTGTTCTTCTCACTGTCCGCTGGCTTCATCTGGATCGGGTGGTGCATCTGGAGAAGGAACAACGTGCAGCACTGAGATGTTAGCACAGCCTCCATGGGCAAGTTCATGAGCATTGACTTTGATGCTGATGGACATTGATACAGGCGGCTGTAAGTGTGTGTGGGGGTGAATATCTCAATGATTCAGTATAAGACCAACTGTTAAATAATGAAATGTACGGCTCCTACAAATATTTTAACATTTTAAATCAATTTGACATGAAAATATATTAAAGAATGTAAAGCAATTGATAGGCCTGGATGCACTTCTTTCCAATTTCTTGTCCAATTACATGCCCTTGTCCCCCCCCCCAGGCAATATTGTCTAACATGAAACTAGTCTGTGACAGTGTTAATTTTGGCAGCTACTTTTGATTTAGTCTTTAGACGAAAAATGCATATTAGTTTTAGTCACATTTAGTCATTTTAATTCTTCTTAGTTTTAGTCGACGAAAACTAGACAAAAATGTAATTAGTTTTAGTCCCATTTAACATCCATATTAAACTCATTTTCTTCCCTTCTCAGGCCCAGGGACCCTGTGTTGTGTCTACAGCTGCATAATAGTCCAGCTTGCAGTACTTGGTTGTCCATTAGCTGTCCCTCCTATAGGACAGGCCTATAGATGTCCCTCCTATAGGACAGGCCTATAGATGTCCCTCCTATAGGACAGGCCTATAGATGTCCCTCCTATAGGACAGGCCTATAGATGTCCCTCCTATAGGACAGGCCTATAGATGTCCCTCCTAGGACAGGTCTATAGATGTCCCTCCTATAGGACAGGCCTATAGATGTCCCTCCTATAGGACAGGCCTATAGATGTCCCTCCTATAGGACAGGTCTATAGCAGGTCGGCAAACTTTTTGACTCGCGGCCACAGTGGGTTGTAAAATGTGACGGAGGAGCCAAGAACAAGCGGTTGACGTGTTTGTGTGCGCTGATATAAATGACATGTGAAAAATTATTACATGAAAGGATTTTAACAAATAGCAAAGCATTTATTTGCAAGGCAATTTAACAAATTGTCAAAGGTGTAACATCTTCATGAGGACCAGGGACCTAAACGCAACACTTTGTTGTCTTTGTTTACTTGCAATGCTTTTGACACTTCATGGTCCTTTATTGTTTCCACTGTCCCAACAAAAGAGACCTTAACGTCCTACAATCCCTGCAATACATTATTTTCTTGGCTTCAGAACCTGCAATGAGTTTATTACGTTAGAGGCGTTTGTGACGGAGCGTCTCATCCAGCGAGGAAACGCTGTCTGCCGTCGCCAGAGAACAGAGCAGAAAGGTCCGACGGTCTTTGAACGCGTCTTCATGTTTCTGTGAAGCAGCGCGGCTTCAGCCTGCTAACAGCCTGCTAACAGGCAGCTGAGCTAAACTAACGAAGCCACGTTCAAACTCGCCGAAGCGTAAAAGTCGTCGTGGTCCGTAGTCGGTGCACAAGAACCACCGCTGCACCGATACGAGCGTCCTGGGTTGGTGGATGACGTCATCATGACGCGTTAATATCCGCCGTACTTTGTCTGTCTGTTGTCTGTCAGCTGCGTGCGAATTTAGGGGGAAAAAGTATCGTGACTTTGTCAACCACCAACATGTTCGTCTCGTCTCGTTAACGAAAGTTAGAATAGATTTAGTCATAGTTTTTATTTTTTAAGATCGTTTTCGTCACGTCTTCGTCCCGTCTTAGTCATGGAAAAATGAACACTGTTCTGTGAGGGTCAAACGGTCGGGCAGCGGCGCCCTAGATGAATGATCCGAGGCTCACTTACCCCTGGGAGGATCTTCATGTTGTGCAGTGCATTCTGGGCCTCCAGGGCTGATTTGCGGGTGTAGTAAGTTATAAAACAGCAGCCTGCCGAGGAGGAAAACCCACAGTTAACAGATGTGCTCTGTAGAACTCATGCATGTGGTGTTGAGGGCGGGACGCTCGTACTACCACTGTCACATGTCCTCGTCATCCCAAACTACCGTAAATAAGAAAAAAGGTTTATATTTAAAAGTTAATAACCAGCCAGCCAACTCGTCCGGCCTCCACCAACACACATCTGACACATTGGCCGTGACCTTTGAGCACCACCTTCTGATCACTGCGTCCATGAGTCCAGGTGGACGTTTGTCCACAGTGACCGCTGTCTCCGTGGCGGAGGCAAAAACAAACTGCAGCCCAGTAGGGCTTCATGCTACGCTGATAAATACATTGTTCATTGACCTTTGCTCTGAGGGGGGTTCTGACTGCGGTCTCGGAGAACGTTTATCTCATAGACCGCTCCGTACGGCTCAAACAGCTCCCGAAGCTGCTCCTCGGACCAGGACCGGGGAATCTGCCCCACGAACATCTTAATGGCATCAACATCTGGTTGGTCAGGGTGGTCCAGAGACCCATTCATCTTCTTCCCACTACGAACACAAAAAACAACATGTGGTGGGAACATGGAGGAAACAATAACGCAAATGATACTGATTCTTATTCTATCATATAAGGTTTCTACTGGGACACATACACACATACAAGAAAGGTTTCCTTTCCTTAAATAGTAAAAATGATAATTATTAATACATAAAAACAGTCAAATGTGGAGTAGAAAAACATGAACAAGCACCTTATAATAGCTGAAAGTATCTCATACCATCAGACTTATCAACTCCTGGTAAAAATTCAACTGATTTCTGGCTCTGGGTACATGACAGAACCTTCTGCTGTGTCAGGTTCCTCACCGCGAATCAGGAACAAGGACTATCAGACTAACATTAACTAAAGACCCGACCACGAGACAAAGGACACGCCTGGTCACACCAGGAGGAAACAACCATGTCCCAAAAATTATTCCAACCGATTTGATGTCAGCATTAACAGTTCTAAATGTCATCCTTTCATTTTGTACTGTTATAGATCTTTTTTCTTAGAAGAAACACAATTAAAAAAGGAAAAACATTATATTTTGATTGATTAAAAGAATTCTAATGAAATAACTGCTACATACATTTGGTTTCTCACCAATGCTCCTTTTCACTGAACAGAGCCTGAACGCATCATACCGAAAAATGAAAGTAGCCTCTGTTCATTTGCCGTTAGCACTGCTGCTACTAGCTCCCCTCCGGTACATTTTAACTCATTTTCACATTGTAACATTATCAGAGATGAGCGACTATAAAAGCATCAATGACGTCCTCCACTGATATTTTTCTGAATATTGGCGGATAACTAATAGGCAGTAACACTACATTTTACACGGTGAAATCAATCCACGGTTCACATGCGCGTCGAACCATGATCTTTAAAAATGAACAGCTTTTAATCAGTCCATCGCGTGCCATCGATTAAAGAAATGACGTCACAGTCTACCGCGGGAGATGACCAAAACTAATGCCAGCGCTAATTAGTGATCCTTGCTTCCGAATGGCCGCATTTAATTTCATTCCAAAGCCACCAGGCCGACTAAGAATGTGACGGTTTGCTCCTTCTGACAGATGAGAGGCTCGATGTTTTCTTTCTTTATTTACCGGCTGGTCCCCCCCTAAAAACTACACACTACATTGGAGAAATCTTTAAAGATGAATATAGAAATGCTTTGGATGTTCAGATCTGCTTTGTTGGACAACACTGACACCAGTCCCGTCTCACACGACTGTCCAACGTGTCTGAGCTGAGCCGTCACTTCACAGGGAAGACATGGGAAGTTGGTTTGGCTCTGCTCCCGGTTCTTCAAGGACAACGAGCATCTATTTACCGACCAGCTGAAATGTTACACATGCACGGTTTATCCCGAGCGTCCCACAATAGGGGCCAAACGGGAGCCTATTGGCTAAAATATACACCAATGCGTTTGAAAAAACACAACTCCAAATACTCCTAAAAACCTGCACATGGCGGTGCAAGGGGCAAACAAAGGACACAGCCCACCTAAGAGCCGGCCCAGACAGCGCTGAGGACTCATTTCTCTCAGAAAAAACAAAGCCAGAGCAAAATAACACCAAACATCCAAGAACATGAAGGCCCCTAAACTTTGCCGCTTTGATTGAAATTATGAGAATAATCCGGTGTTTCTGCAGAGCAAGACGCCAGCCTCTGTTCCTCATCAGAATATCCAGTGTTACGCGCTCACTTCACAGTGAGGAATTAACAGCTTGCAATGTCCTCATCCATAACTTAATGTGGCGTCTCCATTCTGAGGCAATAATAGTTGTTTGAGAATACACTTGAATACACAGTGAAGCTTAATTTTTAATCAAGCGAATACATGTTTGGATTTATTTTGTATGGTTGTTAAATGTTTCTACCGAGCCAGTTTTTCTTTTTTGCCGTCCTTGTTTTGGAGAGCAAAGGATGAACCCTACGTATGCATAAGCACGCTGTTGGGTATTTAATGGCCACAGGTATATCCTGCATCCCCAGATACAACCACAACCACTTAATGTCTACTTTCTATAGTTGAATCAGCTATGACCTATTTGATGCGTTTTCCTCTTTCACAGTTCCAGAGAAGCTTTGAAGTTTCACCCTTCAGGGAGGTTCAGCCCTACGAATGCGAGGACTTGAGAGTCCTGTATTTAGTTTGTTGGAGCAGATTTACACTCCTCTAACGGATTATTAGGAACACCCGTTCAACTTCTCATTAATGCAATTATCTAATCAACCAATCACACGCCAGTTGCTTCAATGCATTTAGGGGTGTGGTCCTGGTCAAGACCATCTCCTGAACTCCAAACTGAGTGTCAGAATGGGAAAGAAAGGTGATTTAAGCTATTTTGAGCGTGGCGTGGTTCTTGGTGCCAGACGGGACGGTCTGAGTATTTCACAATCTGCTCAGTTACTGGGATTTTCACGCACAACCATTTCTAGGGTTTACAAAGAATAGTGTGAAACGGGAAAAACATCCAGTATGCGGCAGTCCTGTGGGTGAAAATGCCTTGTTGATGCTAGAGGTCAGAGGAGAAGGGGCCGACTGATTCAAGCTGATAGAAGAGCAACTTTCACTGAAATAACCACTCGTTACCACCGAGGTGTGCAGCAAAGCGTTTGTGAAGCCTCAACACGCACAACCTTGAGGCGGATGGGCTACAACAGCAGAAGACCCCACCGGGTACCACTCATCTCCACTACAAATAGGAAAAAGAGGCTACAATTTGAGCTCACCAGAATTGGACAGTTGAAGACTGGAAAAAAGTTGCCTGGTCTGATGAGTCTCGATTTCTGTTGAGACATTCAGATGGTAGAGTCAGAATTTGGCGTAAACAGAATGAGAACATGGATCCATCGTGCCTGGTTACCACTGTGCAGGCTGCTGGTGGTGTAATGGTGGGGGGGATGTTTTCTTGGCACACTTTAGGCCCCTTAGTGCCAATTGGGCATCATTTAAATGCCACAGCCTACCTGAGCGTTGTTTCTGACCATATCTATCCCTTTATGGCACCATGTACCCATCCGCTGATACTTCCAGCAGGATAATGCACCGTGTCACAAAGCTCCAATCATTTCAAATTGGTTTCTTGAACATGACAATGAGTTCACTGTACTAACATGGCCCCCACAGTCACCAGATCTCAACCCAGTAGGAGCTTCGTGCCCTGGATGTGCATCCCACAAATCTCCATCAACTGCAAGATGCTGTCCTATCGATATGGGCCAACGTTTCTAAAGAATGCTTCCAGCACCTTGTTGACTCAAGGCCACGTAGAATTAAGGCAGTTAAGGCAGGGGGTCAAACACAGTATTAGTATGGTGTTCCTAATAATCCTTTAGGTGAGGGTATAGCAGAAGAGTCATCCTGATGGTCTGCTCTGTAGCACCTGGGCCGTCATGGGATCAAACCGACAACCCTCTGATTGGAGGACGACCTGCTCCCCACTCACCCACAGTCACCCACGATCCACCACGTGTCCACAATGTCCACCGGGTTCACCATGTCCTGCTCAGCAAGAGAATCCTTCTGGCTAAAGTCAAAGCCAGCCTGGGTTTTCTGTATCGAAACAAGGCCTCCTTCACACTCTGCCAAATTCACCCTTGTGAAAACGACCATCCTTCCTCTATTCGACTAAGGCGATATCATTTATAAAATGGCATCAAAGACCACCCTCAGAAAACTGGACACACTCCACCACTCAGCAATCCGATTTGCCACGAGTGCACCCATCACCACCCACCCCTGTGATCTCTACAGACTGGTGGATTGGCCCTCCCTCCATACGACACTGGCTGCTTGTGGTCTACAAATCCATTTTGGGAATGACCCGCCGCTACCTCTTAAATATTCTGCACATTTCCGACAGCAATCGGCATCATCGTTCCAAAGGTCCGTACTGTGTTTGCTCGTAAATCCTTTCGTTTGCCGCTGAAAATGATTGGAACTCAGTACAAAACACCCTCAAACGAACAGCCCTCACCTCCCCCAACATGTTCAAACATCAACGAGCCAGTTGACTGCTGCACTCGCTGACCAGCCCTCACTTCCAGTAATCTGTTTGTACATAGTGTTTATTGCTCTGTATATTGCTATCGTATTTGATCTCAGACCAGTATATGTAACTTTAAATCACATTTGCACTTGGGCTTTAGTTTAACTGTGAGGTGACATCACTCATGCATTTTAGATGTAGCCAATATGTACTTATGATACACCAGACAAACATCCAAAACTAATTGAATTTACAACAGATGCACATGCACACATGCTACCAGTGAGTTATTAAAACACCGGTTATCAAAGACCCTGAAGTTCTTAACACGATTGTGTCTTTTGGGAAATCGAATCAAAATTCTGTTTAGAGAAAGAACCGTGACAAGGAGGAGAAGCTTCCCTCACGTGAGGAACTGATGACAAATACAACTACAACACAGCGGCTCATGGTCTTTACCAACCACACACCCAAACATGTCCACGGAAAACACAGACGACGACTTACGAAGCCAGTTACTTACACAGGACTAGAATTCAATGAGCAATGGTCCACCATCATCTCGGGGAGAAAATCCAACTTAAAAGAAGCCATGATGGCAAATCGGCTTCTTTTTTCTTCCTTCTTCTTGGAGCCCACCCGACAATGAGGCTTAATTGACAGAGTGATCACAGGGGGGTGTTAAACTCCGGGTCGTACGCGGCTCGGTAGGTTCCTGTGTACAGCAGCAGACGGCGACAGACAGAAAAGCAGCGGGTGGCCACACACTACTGCACATGGAGACGTCGTCCACTGGAACACAGATACGACAGACGCAATCCGGCTTGGTGTGAGACAGCAGAAGAGCGCGGGGGACAGACGGACAGCGCTTCACCTGGTTTCCAGCTTCTGGGACTGACCACAGCAGGGATCACTGGGGCCACAGAGAGAAATGGCCATTTGCGTCCCACAATCAAAGTGCTGATGATCCACGGCCTTTGTGAACGTTTCTCCTAGGCCAGCAGATCTGGCTGCAGCGTCAGATAAACACGGTGTCAGATTGATGGTGATAAGGCCCAGTGGGCAGAGGGAATGAACCAGGGAGTGAATAGTGCTCAGGAGGAGCTAATCCCTGGACTAGCCACTCCAGAGGCTAACAATTCGGTTCCGGCCTGGGGGGGGCTGTGTTTACCCTGTTGTCCTAAAGGCCGCGCTGCTTTGTGTGAGTGTAAAAACAGAAGTGAGACAATGTCAAATGACACAGGCTTTGTTCTTTGTGCACACTCAAACACACATGGGGTGTGATGACTGATAAGAGCACCAAAATCCACCAGCCCGCCTCAGGTGGTGGTTGGCTTTCACTCAGCATATGCATTTACTGCCGCATGTGGGTTTGGATCCAAATGAAATGATTTATTCAAGCAACACGTGGGCACCCAACCACACCAGCAGAGCACACTCCTAATGCCACACAGCCTGTCAAATAACAAAAGACATACAACCATATCGGTTGATTGAAAGCAGGTCGACATTTAACCGACAGGTGGACGTCCCGTGCTGTTGACGCTGTCTCGCCGCTACAGCGCACACCACGTGATGAAACTGGGAGATGGCTGGATAAACTTGGACTGGACCTCATGATGTGTTTTGAAAAGATGGGGCCAGTTTTCGGGAGGACGAGACTTTGCCTCATCATGTAGAAACACCGTTACAGTCACATCCGTCTCCACCACTGTTGTGGAGACACATGGCTGCATGGTGCGGTTGACCCCCCCCCCCCCCCACCATCCCACCTTCTTACCCCACTAGTGCCAAGCTGGGGACGTCCGGGGCAGAGAGCGGTAGCGTCTGCTCTGGAGAGACGTACAGGATTTCGGGGTCCAGGCTGTCCATCCTGGGCCGTGCACTACTGCTAGCAACACACACACACACACACACACACACACACAGAGGAAACGAGACACACAAAACATTACTAATGGACACACAAGTTTTTACGCACGCAACACTCAACTCATGCATCAGTGACAGGTGGATGCGTGCATGGGGGGGGGTCAGTGTGTCTGTTTGCCGCTCTGAGCCATAACTTCACCATTGGGCCGACTGAACAAGCTGCACCGATGACAACAACTAGTTCAGCATCAGCACTAAAACGAAGAATGTTTACGGGAGAACGGATCAGATTGAAGAGATTTTGTCTGAAGAAATGCGTAAATATGACCGCTTCACAAGCCGTCATTGGCGGACTATGAGGACAACAAAGTTGGAGGAAAATACGGGACAAATGTGTCCTTGATGAAAAGCAGCAGTGTCGATGCACGGGGCAATAAAGTCTATGATACATAAATAAACCCACCAACGACTTCCACACACAAAGACGTGACTCTCTAGGTCGTCTTCAACAAAACACATGACTCCACCTGTTGTTCTGGAGGTGAATCGCTCTGCAACACACGCAGGACTTTACAACCAGGAAGTGAAACCAGTGCGTCGGCACGACGTAAAGACGCAGACGCAGAAACATGCCCCGGCCTTCACAGCTGGTTTGCAACTTTGTGTCAGGCTCAGTATGCAGAGGTGCAGGACCCTCCACCCCGCAAAGGACCCTGATCAGCTGATCAGCCTATAGATGATGTCATCCAGTCAAATGTTGTACCACAGACATGATGGCTTCACACAGTGATAGCAATCATATGTATAGTGAGAAGATCATAAAATAACCCCAGCTGATCATGACAGAAAAACAAAATCTGTTAATCGACAACGAGGCAAAAGCTGCGACGGGAAGAGCCGCCTTCTGCGAGACAAATTCATGAGTTCACGTTGAGGGAGCAGCTGCTTTGGAGTCTACCAAGACTACTGGGCATCCTCGTACCCAGTCCACCAAGTGTGCCGAGCTCCCCACCTGTCAAACACCTGCCCACATGGCCCACTGCTTGCCAGATGTTGCTTGTGAAGCTTGTTTACCAAATCAAAATGAGGTGTTTGTATGTTGCTCACGGGTTCATTGTGGACATGTGTCAACAGCTGACACTTGATGCTGTGTGGTTGTCTCTGTTAATGTAGATTAATATTATCTGTTGACATTAGATACGCACACACTTCGCCATACTTGTTGAACTTTGCCCCAGTGGTCCGTGTAAGCAGCTCCTGGGAAAGGCCAGCTGCGGGAGGAGTGACGTAACGTTATTTACGTAAATAATAACGTTATCTGATGTTATGCGTGTGGCGCATCTCCAGCGCAGCAAAGCCCCGCACACCTGCTCACTAACAGCAGCCGAAACACCACGCGCACCCTGCCAGCTCGGCCATGACGTCATTTCACCGACACATAAAAGAAGTAGGCGACGTCTGAGCGCAGCGGCAGCTAGCTAAGCGGGCCGGCCGGCCGGCGGTGTGATGCTAGCGACCACAGCTAGCCAAGGCGGCTAGCTTTCACGGCTAGCTACGACAGCTAGCTACCACAAGTTAGCTACGACAGCTAGCGTCCTCAAGTTAGCTACGACAGCTGGCTACGGCTGACAACTTCAGATGACCAACTTACCCGTTTGTTTACGCCACTGTTAATTTGACTTGTGCTTAAGACGGGACGTCTTTTGGGGTGTTTGCTCACGACACAGCGTCAAGCATGTTGCACGTAGCAGGCTGCCGATAACACAGGTGAGCGGTTGCGGCTGTCACCGGACACGCAGCTAGCCTTAGCAGTCCCGTGTAAAATGGCAGTCTCCCCTGAACCGTTACCAATCACAGGCTGCACCGGGAGGGAGGAGGGCAGTGCCGCGACGTTACCTTCTGCAGGCCCCCAACAGACCAACGCGCGCTTTCCCTGTTATTTAGTGCGGGTTCTTGTAGTGAAAGCGCTTCAAAGGGAACGGAACATCTCACAGTGTGCGGGGCTCCATTCCTCACAAGACGAGTCTTTATGCTGTAGAAGTGTTCAATGATCATGAAGAACATCATTATAAACGAGCAGCGAGACCCAACATGACAATGTAAGCAACGCACAAGCAGCGCTTTGTGCAACAAGTGTGAATGCACGAGACAATGTACAGGAACACGTGCTCAATGTGTACAAGCTAAGATGACTTAGCTCTAACGTCATCAAAATAAATAAATACTGCAGTTTACTGGAGACAAGAACCCATATCATTACAAATAAAAACACATCTGACAAAGAAATATATATACTATATATACAGCATGTAAACCAATAAATAGTGTGGTATAACCAAACCTTTCATATCAACATTAAATACAATTTTTTGATCAGATAAATTGCTGTTCTGTGTTAAAAAAAACAATTAAATTGCTTATAGTAAAAACCTGCCAAATCCCCAAATGACTATCCGCTCTGACCAGAGATTTTCTTTATGCTGGCAGTTTAGACCTCGTCCCTGATCACACTTGAATCGAGCCTTCTAAAAATGTTCCCGTCCATCTACTATTGTTGTATAGTTTTTTTGCATGTCCCTCTCTACAATTCAATTTAAAAAGGTTTTATTTACATTAATTATGCCTGAAGCATTTAACTGATTCAACAAAGGAAGTTAAATATCCCATAATAATACAGCCATAAGATGTACCTGGATACCTGTAGAAAGGCTTTGGTCTGACAGACAAAATGAAAATAATATTACAAATAGTTAAGATAAAAGGGAGCAGCTAAGCACAACCTAGAAAATATCAAACCAAATGCAACTCTGAAATAAGATAAATGACACATGGGTAACAATACAACAGATGAAGAGCTTAGAGCGCAGAAACACAGACCAGAGAACTACAACTACAACGAACCAGACAACTACAACGGACCAGCGAACCACAACCACAACGAACTACAACGGACCAGCGAACCACAACCACAATGAACCAGAGAACTACAACGAACCAGAGAACCACAACCACAACGAACCAGAGAACTACAACGGACCAGAACTACGCCGTACCAGAGAACTACACCGTACCAGAGAACTACAACTACAACGAACCAGACAACTACAACGGACCAGCGAACCACAACCACAACGAACCAGAGAACTACAACGGACCAGAACTACGCCGTACCAGAGAACTACGCCGTACCAGAGAACTACAACTACAACGAACCAGACAACTACAACGAACCAGACAACTACAACGGACCAGAAAACTACAACGGACCAGAACTACACCGTACCAGAGAACTACACCGTACCAGAGAACTACAACTACAACGGACCAGAAAACTACAACGGACCAGAAAACTACCACGGACCAGAAAACTACCACTACCACGGACCAGAAAACTACCACGGACCAGAACTACGCCGTACCAGAGAACTACGCCGTACCAGAGAACTACGCCGTACCAGAGAACTACAACTACCACGAACCAGACAACTACAACGAACCAGACCACTACCACGGACCAGAAAACTACCACGGACCAGAACTACACCGTACCAGAGAACTACACCGTACCAGAGAACTACAACTACAACGGACCAGAAAACTACCACGGACCAGAACTACGCCGTACCAGAGAACTACTTACTACAACGAACCAGACAACTACAACGGACCAGAAAACTACAACGGACCAGAGAACTACAACTACAACGAACCACAACTACAACGGACCAGAGAACTACAACGGACCAGAGAACTACAACGGACCAGAGAACTACAACGGACCAGAGAACTACAACGGACCAGAACTACAACGTATAAATGGACAGTTGCATGTGGAAGTTACATAGAATGTAACTGAAATGATCCCAACCATGACGGATCGGAGCTGTTAACACGGTGTCATTCATCCCAAAGCCCACCGGTGACCTACTGACAATACTGTCCTCAACTGTGGGACTTAAGTTAAGAAAGAGGACACAGAGGCCGCAGATGATCAGTGTGAGTGTAACACGTAGCACTCATATGCTACACAAGGAGCTGTTTGTTGGTGGAATGTGGTTCAGCATTTCTTTCTGATGCCATCCATGTGTTTTGCCCCCTGCTGGTCTTTGGCTTCTCTTCTCAGAACAGGAGGTACCTGCCCAAGTAGCAGAGGCAGTCGTGGTGTGGACCCGGCTCCAGCTGCAGGGATCCATTGACCAACGCAGAGATGGACACGTTGTCTTAGACTCACGTGGACCTGGGAAGGACTCCATGACGTATAATGTTTCAATGAAATCATAAGCAGAGACTCTTCATAGCCTCGTTTATTACTTTAGCAAAGTATATTAGCCAACCTAAAGCTCACTAGCATAAAATGTCAAACATTAACGGAGCCAATCATAAGAAAATGAATGATGATGATCTCCCATCATCCGGTTCGACGGGACAAAGAAGTTGACTCTCTGACGCAATCGCTTACATTTCATTTAAACAAACACAAAGTGCTTCACTCATTAGGAAACGTACACGTCGGAACACAAGTAATGAGTTGATAGTTGTCCCTTGTATCTGCCACACACCAGCACATTGACTATGAACTGCAAATGCAGACGTCTTAAAACAGACACCAGCACCACAATCAATGGGGTGGGGTCAAAGGTCATATGTGAAGGGCTCGTCCAGGGGGAGAGGACCCCTGCTGCATCACAGCTCGGACTGGTCTCTTCTCTCATGTGCTCGGGTTGCTTGGTTAGGGCTGAGGAAGCGGCCCTCCGCGGTGCGGGAGGGGGGGCGCTGCTGCAGCGCCCGGTGCAGGTACCCGTTGTAGAAGTCAGCAGCGGTCAGCTTCTTCTTCAGCAGCACCGCTTTGAATCCCACCCAGCCGTCCTGAAACACACAACACATGCTCCCGTCACGCTCGGCACCCACGTCTCCCGCGCATCGCATTTCACACCCACTAGTGACAAGAAGACTTCAGCCCCTGGGGACCGGAGAGAAATGATGCTTCATCCTAAATAACGGTAGAGTAGATTCAATTGTTGATGAATGACCACAACTTTTGTGTTTATGGCAAAGTAGGAGCAGCAGGGTGTTGAGTATCACTGTGTGGATCCAATTTACGTGTGGAGACGTGCATTTCAGGTGATTCTGTGAATGTATTTTCAGTGAAATCAATAACGTACAAAGAGATGTGGTTCAGATTTACTATACATGTGTTGTTCAAAAGGAGAACACTAGCCCCCTTCAGCCTGCAGCCTTATGCACCCGTCAAGCCCCCCAGGGAAGGACTCCAACGGCCCCCTGATGACGTTCTCACATCATCTAGAAGGTCCCTCCTGCATCCTTCGTGACCGAAGGATTGTGAGCGTCCACGAGGGGCTCAGTCTCCTCGGAGGTTCTTCTACAAGGAGTCGCTCCGTGTAGAACCCTCCCTCACGTGTCATAACTGAACAGGCTGAGCTCGGCTGGCCTCGTGCCACTGTGGTACAAAGGGGCCGAGGAGTTTGTCCTCATGTACAAAGAAGTGCACGGACCTTACAGCAGACAGCCAGCGTGTTGGACTCCTTCTGGTAGCTCAGCGAGCCCGGCGCCGCTTTCCTCTGTGGATCTGCAGACGGGAGTAGTGATGAGTGACGGCACAGGCCCCCGGGCCCCACAGAGGGGACCGCCGGTGGCTCTGAAAACCCTTAAAACCACGTCAACATCTTACAGACACGTTGTCTCCACTCTCTGAAACATTTACATTCACAGAAACCTTCAGTAAATATCACAACACCTGATGAACGTTTACCGTAAAGATATTCAGTCTAATTTCGACAAACTTACCCAGTAATGAAATGTGACATTTTCCTACAAAATCCAGGAGCTTGATGGTCCGGCCCATCCACGTGGTCCTCAGCGCTATCTGTTGGCAGAGAGCGGGATGAGCACGGTGACATCACACAGGCTCCTCCTGTTCCTCACGCGGCAGCAGCTTCTTACCCGCGATCCGATGGCCCGATAGAGACGATCGATGTGCTCACACGTCTGCTCCTCCCACTGCACCCAGCTCATGGACGGGCTGATCTTCGGGGCTTTTGAGAGAAACCAATGTGGAAGTTGTAGATCTCAGATACGCCCAAAGAAAAGCTCACGCGTCACAGTTCACGCGGATGACATATTTTGATTTCAAAATGGCGAATTTCTCCGAAAAGCTTTGCAGGTTCGTATGTTAAGCGGCTGCGTGGTTCAGACTTACCAAACGTTGCGCCTGTCGGGCGTTGCTCCCTTTGGAGGGCCAGCCTCTCCGGCAGCGTCCTCAACGTGTCGAGCAGCTGCAAGCGAGGATGCAAATCAAACAAAGTGAGACTAAAGGGAAGTAAGTGAGCATCCGCCAACCACGCGTGTTCCAACACCTCACCAGATGTGCTCCCCTGGTGGCAAGGAGGGCTCCAAGCTCATCAGCGCTACAGTTCCCAGGGACCTCATGGAGCTCCTGGTTGAGGATGGGGCCCACATCAAACCTGGGATGTGGAGACACGAAGCCCTTTGACATACTGCGAGACTCGACACTTGTACTTGTTGTGCGCGCTCTTCCTCCCTCGGTTTACCTGTGGGGGCGGATCTGGATGACGGTGACCCCCGTCACAGTGTCTCCGTGCAGGATGGTGTGGAAGATGGGGGCTGGACCTCGCCACCGAGGCAGCAGGCTGGGGTGAACATTCAGCACGCCGCTGCAATGACGGACACACACCCACAGTGGTTACACAGTTGTGCAAAGATCATCGTCTACGTCGGAGGTCGACTACCAGAGCCCCCTGTTTGAGCGTGTTTATCTTCCAACTATGGATTCCTGCTCCGAAGATGAAAACCTTTGAGTAGCCTTGACTTGTGTGTGTGTGTGTGTGTGTCAATTCTGTCTCCTGTTTGCAAACATTAAATGTCCTGTTTGGTGATTTGACACTGAATTCAATCACAGGTCTCTGCTTTCATCGCCGTTATAAACAAGCGCCTCGATGTGCAGCGACATCATTGGCATCGCTTCCACTTGTGAGTAAATACCATCGTTTCTTCTCTGCCGTTTGTCAATAATAAAACACATTCAACTTTTTCAGATTTAAGTTGGGTGTAAATAATACTGGTCCTGAAGATGTTTTGTTGGCTCGGCCTTTGACCTCTTCTCAGACTGAAAGGACATCAGAGTGTGGGACTTGTGCATGGACAGGTGGGACTGTCTCCTGAGGACAAGGGATCAATGCTCACTGTGGGAACTTGTTGATCAGCCCCTCGTGGAGGAGGCAGCCAAACGACACCACCACGCCGACATCGAACCGGCCTTCCACGTCATCGGGGGGCCAGCTGTGGACCGCCAGCCGGTTCTGTTGAGCGAACCGCTTCACTGGGACGTCACCGGACAACGCGACCACTTCAAGGGTCTCCACCGTCCCGCCCGGGCGGCTCCTGGAGACCACACGGAGCTTATTAGCGCTCCTCAACCCACGACCACGGAGGCCGTGAGGTTACGTGACGTTACCTGCTGGCCGCGAGCAGCTTCAGGGACTCCACCGCAAACTGGTCCGAGCCAAAGAACAGGAGCCTCCAGGGGGCCCGCGAGGAGGACGAGAGTCCGCGGGACAGCGTCGCCGCGAGGCAGCCGGCGGCCCACATAGTAACGCGCTGTGGCCTCGGCTCGAAGTATCATGTCCGTGTCAGTGGAGACTTTGGGCGGGATTCTGTGACCGTGTTCGACTCGCCCTGAATGTACCGACAGTGGACGCCGCCATGTTTTCCTTCCACTTCTTCTTCTGTTGGCGGAAAGTGGTTGAAGGTGCGCAGCGCCCTCTACTGTCCAGCGTGACGTCACATCCGTAAAGGTCTAGGGCAAAGAGCCATTCCTCCATATAGTTCACCTAATGGAACTATAGATTGTTCTAGTCATCAATTAATAGAACCAGAATAAAGACGATTCTTTAACTTTCAGTGCGCTATCCACGTCCTGCTTTAGCTGCAGTACTCTAGTTTGGAGACTTTGTCCACTTACGTGGACTTTGTGATGGACTAAAAGACACGTTATGTCAATCTGAGATAAATTGTTCAAGAAAAGCTATTTAATTCGCTGAGTTTGTCGGGTAAGTAAAGGTCTCTTGTGGTGAACCAGTTCATCCTGTCAATCATCCTGTGGGAATGGTGGCACTTTTTAGTTGACAAAACATTCAAAAAATATCCTATACCGTCCTACATGTCCTGCACCCACCAACATAAAACCCACATCTTGCAAATGACGAGATCGGTAGACAAGGTGGATAAAGTTGAACGTGTCAGATATCTGTAAAGCAGTACGAGCAAAACTATCTACATGGGAAAATACCAGTGAGACAATATATACCATACGTATATAGTGATGCATGTTAACCAACCTTTTATTTTATATAAGGCAATAGCCAATCAAACAGAACATCCATTTGAAAAACATTGTAGCTGTTCTTCCAGACAACCATGTTGTGGTCAAGAGGAGCAGCCGGATGATGATGATGATGATGGAGAGGAGGTGTCTGTGTACGCCACAGAGCACCGGCCAATGGGAGCACACCTTACTGTGTGTGCTCCCATTGGGGGACAATTGTCTCGACAGGTACAAAAACAATCAGCAGAAGGCACGATATTTCTGTAACACAACTTCTGAAGAAACAGTCAACTTAATTTAACAAAACCCGAACATGACACAATGAGCTCTGTGAGCAGCATCAGTCCGGCTGCTCCGACGCTCTGGAGCTGTCAGGCTCCTCTTGGGAATACTCTTCTAGGAACCTCAGGTGGAATCCCTTCAGCTGCCCCAAGAGAACTTGTAGCTTTTCTGGGCTCGGCAGGATGGTCATTCTTAAGAAACCAAAACACACACATACACAGTGAGAACAACATACACAGCAGCTCAAAATATGCAACCCTTCTACTCAAGGCTTTGCTCTCCTGACAGGTTTAAAAGCCACGGGTTTAAAGTGTAATGTAAGTCGCTTTGGATAAAAGCGTCACCTACATTGTAATGTAATGTAATGTGCTGAGCGCCTCCTCTCCTCATCCCTCCGTGTGCAGACATTCCTCAAAGTTATGTCTGCCGGCCCCTGAACAGCAGCGTGCTGAGGATCAGTGCCCCCACGCCTCATTTCACCGTCTCGCCCCTTTTGCCCCCCCCCGGTGCCTCTGGGGCAGTCGGACCGTAGAAGATGTAAGTAAGACTTAAGCCTTAATAAATTAACATCATGGTGGTTTTAAGGAATACTTGAAACTGAAGAGTCCATAAACTCATGTCTACTGAAGTAATAAACCAAACAAACAACCGGAGGAGTCGCCCCCTGCTGGTCAGCACAGAGGATGCCCGTTTTAAGACGTGTCCGCCTCACTGTTCAGAACCAGAGGACGAGCGCTCTGGGTCGGTTCGTCCATCACATGTATTCATGACAGGCTGCATTGTCAATGTGGAGTATCACACTGTGCGTTCAAGTACCAAAAGGATGTCCCGTGACTCTTTGAAAAACAGCCTGTCTAAATCTTCCAAAAGGTTCCAAATCCTTTTAAAAACTTCAAGTTGGGATTATGTTGAATAAGATGCAGAGGAGTGCGTGTCCAACCTGAAGTGGAAGGTGCCCTCTCTCTGGCCGAATCCAGACCCTGGGACCACACAGATGCCCGTTTCCTCCAGCAGCCTGAGACAGTACAGCATGTCGGGGGCCATCGACAGGGACTGCAAATAACAGACGGAACGATGACTCGGCTCTGTGCAGCGGCTTCAGGCCACAGGTTCATCCATCGCATGCTTAGATAGAGCCTCAGGATGAAAATAGCCTTATTCTGAAGGACTCCTCACATGACATTAAAAGCTGTCTTTATAGGTTGTTGTGTGTAGAATGTTGAGGAAAATAATGAATTTAATCCATTTTGGAATAAGGCTGTAACATGAAGGAACAGACCTGAGCCTCCTGAATCGCTCGTGGTGGGATGAAGATCTGAGGGAAGGCATACATGGCTCCTTGGACCGGGTTGCACTTGATCCCGGGCACGGAGTTCAGGAATTGCTCTGTGAGCTTTGCCTTGTGAGCCAGGACGTCGAGGACGGAGCTCTTCTCCTGGACACCAACACAACACACACAAGGGAAAACGTTGGTGTGGCGCTCAGCACGGATCTCCTCAGAGGGAGACCCGACTTTAGGCGTACATCTGGAAAAGGATAGTGTGAGAGAGAAGTAGGATGGAACGCCACAAGCAGACATCATGAGCGCCTCTGAGAGTCCATGCTCTGAGCCTCTGGCTGCTGCAGCGCCAGTCAGGAGCACAAGAATCAGCACAGCTTCCATATGTTTAATGAAGGAGAACCAGCAGCTTCTGGTGCTGATACTCATGTTGTATCCTAATAAACCACCTTGAGGCTGATGGCTTTAGTTGGACCACGGAGAACCAAACAGGATCCTGAATAAGACAATTCTAATCTTTACTACTTTATTATTATATAAAGTTATTGATGTTTTGACCGTTGCTGTGAAGGCAACACACACACACACACACACACACACACACACACACACACACACACACACACACACCTTGGTAAACTGAGCATACGAGGGCTCATGCTCTTTAGGGGGGTTAACAATGACGTCCATCGCTGCCTGTCCGGGGACAGGGGGGCACAGGCGGACAGACAGTAGTTTGACCAGCTGGGCCTCCACCTGTGGATCCATGTTCAACACCTCCATGTAGCCCCCACGGAAACCACACCTGGGAGGGAGAGTATTAGTACCCCAGATTACCATCTGCCTGCTCAGCATCACCCAGGTAATGATATGATGTATATGACATGTCTGTGTGTGTTGAGGGCAATGGTTTCTCACTCTCCGGTGAAGCCCTTGGAGGTGGAGTGGAAAGACACCAGCTCCACACCGTTAAAGTACTCCGGGCCCATCTCATAGAGGACCTTCTTAAAGGAGTGGAACTGGCAGTCTGGCAGGTACACGTTGTCCTGGTAAACCTGTGAAGACACAGCACGATGAAGAACATCTCACAGCAGGGCACATCCACACCTACTGAACGTCTTTAGTGGGTCATTCCTGTGAGACATCCGTCTCACCAGAGGACGTCAGTCTTCAGTAACTCCTTGATCACGAGACACTCGGGACCAGGCGGCCGTGTGCTGCTCTGTGCTTCCATCGGACTCACTGCTGCCTGCTTGACCCTATTGATCATTCATTGATGATTTAATGTCCACTTGACCTTGTTGGTGGACATCTTCACAGTTTTCAGCTGCACAGGTATGTTGTCAATGTTTTTAGGCTAATCAATTAATGAACTAATTAATTAATACAGGTTCTTTGGGTTTGATCTCTGCTGAGTTGACTTTAAGAAAAAGACAACCTGCCTCTGAAGTGCACAGTGTGAATTTACAGTGAGGCGTGAGGAGTTTGAAACGGTGTCTGCAGGCATTAGAAGTTACCTCATCCGCCATGACTAACAGATTCTCCTCATAGGCGAAGTGGAGCACCTCCTCTATGCACTTCTTAGTCTGCACTTGACCTGGAGAACAGAATTTGGGAGACATTATTAGCACAGGAAGTAAATAGCCGTCTGGTGTCAGGGCGGAAGCAGCACATCAGCTATCGCAAAAGAAATCACGTCACACAAGCGCAGTCGACGACGGGAGCTAACGGAACGCTAATGCTAATTAATTAATGCTAATTTGCTTACAAAGAGACACATTTCATTTCATTCAAAATCAACCAATGAACATGAAAAAGAAGACACTGTGAGCTTTCAGCGTAGTAACACAGTTGTGAAAGAGTTATACTGGTTGGTTTCAAATCTCAAAGGAGAGCTAAACTATGCGTAGCAGCTTCTCATGGCTGACAGGAAGTTAGCTGAACGCTGTATGTTACACCGCGCTGCAAAGACACTGCAGAGCGAGAGGAAGGTAGCCATGTCCCCACAAGTCAACCAGCCTCTTCTACAAGGAGCAGGACAGCTTTAAGCCGACCACAGGATCAACAAGTCCAGGTGAACATCTGTCCATGCTATCACAGAGGCTCCATCACAGAGGCTCCATCACAGAGGCTCCATCATTAGAGGCTCCATCACAGAGGCTCTATCACAGAGGCTCCATCACAGAGGCTCCATCATTAGAGGCTCCATCACAGAGGCTCCATCATTAGAGGCTCTATTAAAGAGGCTCCATCATAGAAGCTCTATCAGAGAGGCTCTATCACAAAGGCTCCATCATAGAGGCTCCGTCATAGAAGCTCTATCAGAGAGGCTCCATCACAGAAGCTCCATCACAGAGGCTCCATCACAGAGGCTCCATCATAGAAGCTCCATCACAGAGGCTCCATCACAGAGGCTCCATCATAGAAGCTCCATCAAAGAGCCTCTATGATAGATAGTCCCAACACCTACCAGTGGGGTTCCCAGGGTTGATGATACAGAGGACACGAGGCTGGCAATGCAGTTTGGCATCCAGGTAAGCTCGCTGCAGTTCCTCAATGTCCAACGCCCAGCAGTTGTCCTCATCCAGGTAGTAGTTGATGTGGACTGCATCTAACTCCGATATGGCGGCCGAGTAGAGCGGGTACTGCGGGATAGGGATCATCACGCCCGTCCTGGAGGGGCCCCGACCCGATACGACCAGCTTCAGGATGCTCTGGATTGACAGAGAGGATTTATGGGATTCATTTGTTTGCAGAAGCTGCTCCCCACTATCAGACCGACACACTGCTTACCCAATCAAGACTCCCCCCCCCTGCACATTCTAAGTCTAATGCAGCCAGGAAGTCACTTCCCCATTACTGGTTGGTCAGTTCCCTGCCTTCTTCCTACCATGATGCCATCGCTGGCCCCTGTGGTGAGGTAAACGTTGTTCCAATCAGAAGGGACACCCTGGTCTCTGTGCGTGATGTAATCAGCAACATCACGACGGATACACTGCAGCCCCTGGCTGGCACTGTACGAGCCTGAAGAGACACGTCATGATGTCAGATGTACGTCCTTTATGCCAGCTCATGTCATTTAATGCACAGGATACAGTAAACAAATACACACACGTCAATCATTTGTGATGCAGGTATTCTGTAATTACTAATTAATATTTGTTTGAGGAGTAAAATAATCTG